GGGCGGGCGGGCGCTGCCGCGCTCACCTGGGGGGGGTCCCCACCCGCGCTCCGCCCCCGTCCTGCCGGCCCCTCTGCGCCGCCCGGCGCTTCCCCGACCGCCGGACGGGGAAGGGAGGGCTCGCTTTGTATTTCCCCAACTAACCCCGCCGCAGGGTTCGCGGCCGCAGGGCGGAGCGGAAAGTTCAGCCCGTTCCCGGTTGACATTTTCCGATCGGCCCCGCTTTGCACGTGAAGCAGCACGGCGGAGCAGCGCTGGCGAGGGGACCACCGGGACCGGCCGTCTTGGCTCGCCGTTCGGCACAGCTCCCGCCGAGAGTAACTTCGGCGCGGCGGGCCTCGGCGCTGCTCCAGCACTACGGCGTCCTCCTGCTCTTGGCCGCTTCCGCTGAGACTCAGGACACCCCGCAGCCGCCTGCTGTCTCCACAGGCAGGTGCAGTCTAGCCCCTGCAAGATACACGTCTCATTTAGGGCTAAGCCAGCTGAACCGGGCGAGGTTGTTAACAACGGGTCAGAAGGCGTGTCATCTCTGTCAAACGTGTTCGGGACACCCAGCTTCTCTTTCTTGTTCAGACAAAGGGAAACGCTGCTTTTAATTTGGTCCCGGGATTTAGGCAGCACAGAGGAAACAAAGGCAGAAGGGGCAAGCGAGGTCTCAAGCAGCACAACAGAAGCCAGGAAAGCCAGAGCAGTCTTGCAAGTTCAGGTTTTCAGAAGGACGCGAGCAACACAAAAGCACAAATATTACTGAAACCGTCACAGTCTGCTCTGAAATAACAATTGTGCCGATCTCATTATAAGTTCTGGTTCTATACATCAGACTTAGTTCTTGTAATCAGGAGAGAAGGCAGCAGCCTCTGACCCAACCCAGGAGCACATTGACTCGGTGTAGGCAGAAAGGAGGCTCTTCTCATTGCAGTACTGAAAATAATTCCTGGGAGGAGACAAGTTCAAAGGCACAACGCTACATCCTCAGCCCCAGCCCCAGCCCCAGCTTGTCTCCCAGGGGCCTTTCTCCTAAAGAGCCGGAGTGACAGCACTGACTGCAGTGACAGCAGGAAGCCACCGGAGACGTCTCTGCAAGTGCCAGAATAAATTACCTGTTTTCTCAGGCTTTTGAGACCTCGCATTCTCAGCACAGACCAGACAAGATGCTGTATAGGAAAAGCTCCATATATATTGGAGGAAGCTGGAGAGCCCTGTCCTAAAGCTGGGCTCTTGAAGAGTCCAACAAACTCACCAAGAAAGTGAACTGTCAGGTAGGACTAAGGAGTCCCACAAATACTTACAGACCTGTGGCTACTGAGCCAGAAAACAAATGATGTTCCAGGTATACTGCGTATTGAATGCCATTGCTAGAAAAGACTTAATGTCAAATGTCCCAGGTCCTGGAAAGATGCAAATGCCTTCTGTTAAATCATGGCTCCTGTTAAAAATACAGCATTTTAGCTTTCATGATAACTAAGAAAAGCCCCAAAAGCATATGATCTCTACACACTTATATTCTTAGAGAACTGGGGATAAATAAAAAGCATTCAATAACAAAGAAAAGTCATGAGCTGCAGGGCCATCTCGAGGGTCAGAGCATGCAACCTGCCAGCCTGCAGCGCTTCCTGCTGTTGGCCACTATCTTTTTGTCCACAACAAGCTCCCACTAAAAACAGCGGCTTAGCTGTGTGTTTGCAAAGGAAACATTCACACTGGGGACTGATGATAAATCAGTGCGATGATAACTGCTGAAGCTGCAAGGAGCCTGAAAGAGCAGCCAGGAGAGCAGCGGCAAATACCGGGTTAATCTGAGCAGGGCGGCTAACAAGCCCAGTAGTGCCAATGCAAACATTAACCTTCAGCTATCTTGCAGCTGATCGAGCGCACCGGTGAAGAGCATGAAGTGTCATCCTATATGTATCTGCACAAGCTACTCTGACATTTCAGCCAGTTGTCACAACCACACAGACATGGAGCTTCACCAGAGCCTGGCTGGGCAGTTCAGCCTGACCCTGCTAACAAGAAGGGGGAGCAGAACAGGCGGGCAGCACTGTGCTGCCAGGGTGCTGGAAAGGAGAGCGGAGAGTCCTCCTTAGACCACAGGATACCAAGGAGCAGAGCTGAAGCACATATGTGCAGTCAGAGCAGCGACCGAGGCTGAATATTTGCCTAGCAACATTTTGAATATATTCAGAGCTGCCTGATAGAGGAGGAAGAGAAGCACCACAAAAGCAAGCTGTTGTAGTTAAGAGCGATCAGCTCCTAAAGCTTAGCTGGGATGTGGGACACCTTTCCTCAGGTCCGTGCAGGCACCATACCAGCTATCATGTCCCAGGGCAACAACAAAATGCAGGTTCAGCCATTGCTCCCACTGGCAAGGGTATCTCAGACAATAGCAGTGAAGCCATGACAGCAAGGGAAAACGGTGGCTTTTGTCCAAAGTCTTCCCCCCTGCACCTTCCCTCCATACTCCAGATGGTGGCTGCATGCTGAGCGCTCGCAGACAAGGCGCAAGTGTCAGAACAGACCAGACAAAATGGCAGCAACGGGAGTGCTGAGCGTGATGGGTCTTCTCCTCCTGTATGCTATACAGGTGCCCCAGGTGATGAAAGGGGTGATGGGCTGGCCGTACCCCTGCCCACCTGTAGGCATCCAAACCACACACTCTCAGCAGAGTCTAAGAACCAAAGAGAGTTAATTCCTTCCCTGTCCCCCAGCAACAGCTCCTTCTGGGCAGGGTACGGGAACATTCAGGAGCCGTTTTCCCACCTTCCCTGCCCTTCTGAATGGTGAATCCATCCCTTTGCTGCCTTCTGGCACTGGTACGTGACCTTTCCCTTAATAAAACCTGCAGTATTTTCCCCTGTGACAGCATAGATCTTCCAGCACAGAAGGGAGCTGTAAGGAAGGACCTGAGGTGGGAGACAGGTAGAGCTCAGAGGTAAGAAACATCTGAACCACTATTCACATATGACTTAAAAGAGCGAGGGCTCCGGAGACATGGTGCTCTTCCCTGCGTGCAAAGTGGCTTCTCCCTCGCAGCTACGTGGCTGTCAGAGGAACTCCTCCTGCTGCCATGGCACTGAGGTGCTGACAGCACAAGTGGAATCCAGAGAGGATTTAAAGTACAAGGAAAAACAAACAAGCAAACCTCCCTTCTTGTTCAAGTGTTTTGTGAGCCTTCAAGCATGAGGAAGCCCCAGGATGCATCAAGAGGTTGAACACTGCAACCGTTTCCATGGTCTGAGGGTTTCCTTTGATAGTCCCCAACTCCCTTGACTCCATGTACCTAGCCTGGCAGCTCAGCTCTTTTCTGAGATGTTCTTGGATTTCTACAAGACTGTCCCTGGAGCTCTCATGAGTGAAGAACCATCAGGTTAGCAGCACAGACTACTCCAAAATAATCTGTAGGCCACTTGGAGAAAGGGGAGGCAGATTTCTGGAGAAACTCACTGACCTGCAAAGAGGATAATAAAGCTCTTTTGTGCTTTGGAACAGCACAGATTTATGATGTTTTTCATTTGCAGCGGGTCTCACTATTGTCATCTACAGCCCCTTCAAGTTACAGTACCAACACTCATAATTCCCCTTGCCAAGTGTCAGCTTTACTTCTTCAGTGCCTCAGTTTACCCACAAGGAAAGAAACTTGCCCAGTCTCATAAAACAGTGTGACAGAACTTGGAATAAGCTTGCAAATGCCAGGCCCCAACCCTGCACTCAGGGTTCAGGGCACTTGGAGAACAACCCTCCTTCCCCAGGGACACCCCATCAGCCTGGCCCAGGGATGACTGCTTTGCACGTGCTGCTGTGGCACTGTCAGTTTTCGTCCCAGCTGCTGTACCGACAAACCCAAATCCCCCTTTGCGCTCCTGTTCAGTTCCAATCTATGTCTGTGAGTGTTCATGAATAACGCCACTCTGATCTAGCTGCTTCAGGCTCCCTGCTCACTTCAGATACAGACTCCTGGGCTTGGCTAATCCCCTTTCTTTCCCCTTGCCCCCAGTCTCAAAACCACAGACCCTGACAGATCTTCTTTTCCCCAGACTCCAGTCCCCATCCTCAGGTGGGAGCAGAAGTCATGCAACATTCCCAGCAGTCTTCTCAAGCTACCCCCTCAGGCCATGGTGAGGCACAGCTCAGTAGCAAAGCAAATCATGAAATACAGTTGCATAACAAGAAGCAAAAGCGATGCAGGAGGGAATAATCTTGCCCATAAAATGATGAAGGCAACAGCCGCAGAGCTCACTGGCTGCCACTGTGCCTGCAGGGAGAGCAGGGCAGCACTACTGACCTTGAGGATTTAGACTAAGGGGAGAGGGATAGGCAGAAGGAGGAGGAACAATGTGTGGGAGAGGATTCAACAGCAGAATAAAATGAAAGCATGTCTTTTTACTTCCATCTGCTACTAGACATCCCCAGGTTCATCTTGGATCTCCCAGAGCCAGCTGAGGAAAGTTTGTACATGCAGGTGAAACTAATCCAAGGCTGACAGGGCACAAAGTGGGAGGAGAAGCCAAAGGGGACCACACAGAGACCTGCTAGCCTGAGTATTTCTGACTTATGAGGCTGTTGGACCAGGTCTGGCACTTACAGATGCTCAGACCTTACCTTGGTGTTATTCACCTTGTTGTCTCTAGCATAGTGATAATCCACCAGTTGCTACTCCCACCACCAGGCTGATCTTCCAAGCAGCAACCACTGTCTTTTCTAAGTCGCTCTACCAAAGCAAGTTCAAAAAGTCTATCTACCATGTCAGTCTTGACACACAAGCTGAATCTGATCGTAAGACACAACTACTGAAGTGTGCGCACTCCAAGCTAGTGGGATGCAAGCAGCCGTGGTCCCAAAGCTCTCCAGCCTCATTAGCTCAACATGGTGCTCTAGGTAATATGCCCAGCAGCTTGGCAAGCACTGTGTCAGCACAGTTACCTGGCTTGTCCTA